AAAATAAGAAGGTAATATATTAACATAATTTACACAGAATTGGGTTAGTTAAATAAGTTAATTGACATAAATCACATGCAATGATTCTTTCTACATTTTCAATTTTGGAATCGAAGTGATAAATGATCTATTAGACGGTTTTAATATTTCGATGATCACGTAAATAAAATAAAAGATTACAAACTTATTATAGTTAATCGTTTAATGTTAAATTTACTTATATGTATAAAATATAATCTGATAAGAGTATTACAGTCTTAAATGACATACTTAATCTAATTTGACGTACACTAGAAAATGCATTCAGCAGATAAATTTTTCGAAGTATTAAATTGTCAAAATGCTTTTAACATTTCAAAAAAGTCCAAAAATTGTCCCGGATATTGCCAAGATTCGATGCTGAGGTGGTCACCATCGACAAAACAGAAGCAAAAAATCTCCAACTTCAGGTCACTTGACAGACAATAAGTCGTGCAATGGTCTAATAATGTGGGTTTGCTTTTGCATTTATGTACAACTGAGTAGATTTTTAAAACTAAAGAAAAGTGACTACACTGATCCATATAATATTAACAAACTCTAAAAACGTCAAAACATATACGCAACATACTTTTCTTTCATACTATTTGAGACAACAAAAATATTTGTTTCAATGACAATGACAAAAATCATATAATAAGAGCGTACTCCAAGATAGTATTTTATTAAATAATTATTACACTTAAGAATTATATATAATATTATCTGCTAAGGATTGCCTTCTATGATGGAATCAATATTGACATTTTATTATTTTTCAGCAGCACGTTTTGCCACTTATTAAAAAATATCCAGTACACAATGATGGTCGTATTCAACGTCTCGTTTGATAAGTGATAACCACACTTTTATTATTATTATAATACACTATTCCAACCCCATGCATATACCTATTTCAATTTACTTTAGGAATTCTAATAACACCTTAAAATTATTAATAGGCAGGTTAAACTTATCGATATTATTAAATAAACCTATCGTTCTATCAAAGACATCTAAGTCACAATAATTATATATTAGCATAGTTATAAATTTGTATAAGCAAATTCTAGAAGCAAATTCTAGAATCATAAGTCATGTAAATCATAATATTAATTACATCGTTTTTTACAAAAAAAAAAAATCTAAAATGTAATTGATAGTCATAGTGATGAAACAAAATAAACTAAGAGAAATATATATATATATATATATATATATATATTAATATGTACTGTTTTTGTTAAATAGATCATATTATATTCTATCTTTACCTAATTCCCTACTCTTCAGAAAGTAAATATTAACTTCGATTAAAGACTGATTTAAATTGAAAAGACAAATTTTCAATAGCCAATTACATTTACCACGCACATTTATAAAATCAATTCTCTCAACTTACACAAAACTCATTATATATAAACCACAATTCTATTTTAAGATCTATGTGGGTAGATGCTTTACAAATTTGAAGTTATGCAAAGCTATCCCAAATGTGTACTATGCAAGCATTCTAAACGATCATTATTCGCAAACGATACCATCTACACTATAATATGTATCAAATTACACTCTGATTTTAAAATTGAAAAAGTAAACCAATTAGCTATTAAACATTTTAAAACCATATCACTTAAACTTCTAGATTTTTACACAGCAATTAATAGATGTGAATAATATATAACATATAATATTTATGTGACATTAGATCTAATATTTATTTGTTTGGTCATTTATACGAAATTGTTCAAATAATCAAAGTCTCCATTACCTCACCAATTCAATATTATCATAGATCGAAAATCAAAGTACAGATATTTTTATTTTCGATTTTCTTTGTAGAGAATAATATAATATAAAAACTACGGTCCACAACATGTATAATTTATAAATTGTTTTTGAAGGTTATTCAGGCGTTAGCATTCACGACCACTCTGAGTCCCTTATTACATTTCTGCTTTTAGGTATAAGTAATCGAAAAGAAGATACCAACTGGTTTGTAATACCTACCTACACTAATGTCTTGATATTTCATTAATTCATTACAATAATATTTAGACCAATATAACGCAGACGAAACTTAATAATATATTTATACGAGTGTATGTGTATAGTGTTGTTGAAAATTACCTATTACACCCAATACTGTTGTTAAGCATTATTTTCCAAAACATTTTTTCGCCATGGATCTAGACATATTCGTCGTTTTTCCCGGATGATAGGTACCCCCGTTGGCATTACACTACGCGGTTGAGAAATGAATTAAGCCCAACCGCACATTTTCCCCGTCGCCCGGATATATTAACCGGGGTGTTAGCACGGGGCGCGGTTAGCGAGTGGTAATCGGTTACCGGTCCGGACGCGCACAAAAGCCACACCTCGTCCGGCGATAAGGGGATGGGTGTATAGGAGTCGCGGCGTCCGGTGTTTGGCGGGGGTTAAGTACGGTGACTGCCGTATTACTGCCGGTAATGGTGGCAAATGTAAAAACCATGTTTGCGTCGCGCGCCAAGAAGGTTTTGCCGCTGCCACCACGCGTTAATGTCGAATCGATACGACGCGCCGGCGTCGCTTTCGTGTGTGTCACGGTGTGTTGGACGGCTTAAGCCCTGCAAACCATCTACCGTGTTACCGTAATACATGTTATGTATAATATTATATTTTAATGGCACCGCACGGGTGGACGGTGTGTCCAATGTGACTTGAACCATTGTGTGACGATTTTCGAATTATCTGCAGGTTCGACCGATTCGGTACGATGGGTGTTACATCAGTGCCACACGGGGAATTTTCTGATCGCGTGTAATTAAATACAATGTATCATAGTGTATCGGCTTTAACCCAATTTTTTCGAAAGCAAAAAAAAAATTCACTAGACTAGAAAATATTTCTATCCATAAAATATACAAATTTACAAAACAATTAATTATTAGTATTATTACAATACATTGTTATTGAAGTTCCGTTTGCTTTAATTTATTAATAGCCACTTTTCTCAAGACTACACGCAGTTGAATCATTTGGTAATCCATCTAGGCACCACTGTGTAATGCTATTAATATTTATTTTTAGCGAGTTTACGAGTCACCCACTCAACAACGGTATGCGTCCCACAGCCACTTTATCCGGTTTTCAGCAAAATCCTCGTTTTCGAACCGCTGACACGCATTAGAACACATACTTACATTTTGTAAAATCACGGTCGTTTCGATAATAACTGTTCAAACAAAATGTATTTTTCCTTAACTTTTTCCGTACCCAAATTAAATTGTCTGGGGATGGGTCGAATAGTTATTATTTTTGTCGATTCTGATTCTACATGTATTTTAACCACTGCTCGACATAATATGTATTATTTACCATTTCCTTCCAATTCTTTCACACCCTTGAATACCGTACTTTAATCGGCGCACAAATCAAGCACTGCAGATCATATCCTCAAAATGTATCGCATTGAAATGAGTGCCGACACTGCGATGCCATCAAAACAATTTGAACCATACGTCTTATTAGTTATTACTATGAATAATTTCAACATATCCACAAATCTACATTCTCTGACGATAATCAGAAACGTGTGTACAATAATAATAATAGTGACGATTTGACGCCCCGTACGGGGCGAAGACGCGCATATAATATTATAGTGTATATCATATAGGTAAGTAGTATTGGCCCGATAGGAATAATAATACGATGTTATGTGACGAAAGAATGATGTGTGAGATTCTCTTGGTTATATATTATGCGAACTCGAAGAAACTATAAATATTGTACCAACTGTATAACGGCAATAAACTCGTATGGTGTACCTGCCAATTCTAAGTTGAAAGACTCGTAGGCCGTAGGCAATTTATAATTGAACGACTGCAAATAATGTGCGTAATTCCCAACTCCGATGAGAAACGAAAATATTAACAATTATTTCTGCAGAATAAATTATATGAAATAAATCATTAACATACTATATGTATAATACTGTATAATTATTATTATAGTCGTTCTGTTCATTGGTCTGTGTTTATTTGTATAGGTACGAAAATTCATAACTAGCCATAATTGTGAGCATTAATGTCGTTAACATACCTAATAATCAATAAGTTAAAAACTTATGTTTTTTAGTAAATTCGTTAAACCATGCTTTCAGTTAAAATCATGTACCAAAGTGGAAACCGCTCCGGTTGATATGTACAAAATCTTAAGCTAAACTCTCATTGTTTATGTATATCGTTTTGTACAACATATCTGTTAATGCATACAAACTACGTAGATCCTTTGATATCACGTTTATATAATATTTTTTTTAATTAAATAAAAAAATTCATATTGCTTGGTTTGATAATCTTGATGATACAAGCATTTAATTGCATCAAGTATGAATCTATAAATAATAAAACACTGTCTAAAGGCATGAATTACTTAAGATAAAGAACAGTAAAAATGAAGAGTATAATGCATTTCTTTTTTAATACAATTCTCAGTTATTATTTACACGATCTCATAACAATGACCCAGGTGGTATTTATAAAAATTGGTGTACCTATAATTTATTTAACTGAATTAAATTCATATGTATCTCTACATCAATTTTAAATTGTAATAATCAAATATATTTTCTGTTAACTCTTAAACTATAAAGTTATAACTTAACGTTCCTACTATTGATTTAACTCAACTAACACTAGTTGAAATTTTCTATTATCCAATTGAACTAGAGATACGTACACCAAATTTTAATTTTGCTTTTATAACGATATAGATAACTACTGCACGTTTGAACATTTCATTGTACTGAAAAACAATGTTCGCAAACTTAAATAATTGGCTAATAAAATAAACTCATCATCATATGACGTAACCCTGGTAGTATAATCTTTTTTTTTTTTTTACATAACATATTTTTTTTAATTTTTTTTTTTTTACCTACATCAATAAATTGGTTTATACTCCACTCAATTGTTTTTCACTGATGATCGTTAAACATGATGGTAAACATAATCAGTAGTGTTCAGTTTTCAGTCATACAAAGTTTATTTCAAACTTTTCATTATTATTTTTTTTTTTTTTTTTTTTTTTATTTAGAAAAAATCCAATTCAGAAACATTTAATAAACGTCAACAGAACATGGATCAAAGTTTTGAGTTGGATACGCTTTCAAATGGTGAATTATTTTAACACTTAATATATTTTAGTAAATGACTCAATGGATATTACTTTGATTATATTCAGATGTCGAAAAAAGTATTGTGAGTTCGCTGATAGGCGTACCAGAACTAAAAGCATACGTAACAACTTTGAAAAAACACAAACAACAAATATCAGGTGGAAATATTATACTATACTACAAACATTCAATAGAATTATTATAAATTATAACATGAATTTATCATTAAAATATAGTTATGGTTGAAAATATTATTAAAACAGTTAACACTTCTCAAGAAAAAAAACTGACAGACGTATTTGTGTGGGAAAAAACATCAGGTAAATTTCATAAAAATTTAATATTCATAAGCTCTCGCGTTTAGTACACTACTAAAACAAAATCGGCTTAAAATATGACTTAAAGTATTTAAATTTGTGTCTATTGCAAAAATCAATTAAAATTAGTGTATAATATATTTTATATAATTTTACTGAACACACATATCAATCATTTTAAAATTAGCATTTATTCATAACGGAAAAGTAATATCTAGCTAAAATGTAATGTAATATATTTATCAATGTTAATCTTGTTTACTTTCATATTTTTATTCAAACCTATTAATTCAATTAAAATTTTTCAAGGTCATTTAAAAATTATTAAATTACTGATAAATTAGAATATTTAATACAAAGTACCTATTGATATGTATTTTTTTTTCAAAAATATATTTAAAGCTTAGTATTAATTTTCCTACTATTTTCTTTTTTTCTTGTATTCTCAATGTTTATAATTAATTTATATTTTATTTTTAAAAACAATAAAAGGGAAACCATCAAAAATAGAATATGGAGTTCCACTTATCGTTGAACCAAAAACAATTCATGATGTTGACCATACAATAAATGATGTATTTAGAGATTATTTATGTCGGGAACTCCCTGGAAATAAAAAACAATTATTTAATTCACTAGTAAGCTCATATATGTGTAAAGCTAAATTCTATTCTATTGGTAATAATTTAATAAATATACAGTATTACTGACAGTAATTAATTGTGATTAATTACTAAGGAAATTGTTTTAATAATCAATTAATGCAAAGAAAAAAAAAAGAAAAGCAAGTGGCGTACCGCTTTGCTATATATTGGGTATCAAGTAGATCACTATTATGAGGGTGGGTGATAAATTTAAATTTATTGATATATCGTTATACAAGAAAAATGATTCTTAAACGATCTGGCAGCCTATATCACTAAGTTTATTTCATGATATATTTTTTAATAAAGCTATTAAAATTCATTTGTTTCACTCGTATATCATTACATTAGGTAAATATAATATTTTTGAAAATATCGCATTCATTATATTATTAGTACCTATTTAATTATTATAATGGCATATGTAATATGTATAATAATATCAACTAATATAATTTAAAATTTAATATTATCTTTCTATAAATAGATTCATAGTTTAATTGGACAACAGTATACTAAAAACATTCAAACTAAATTCTTAACAATATAATATACGCATACATTTTAAGTTACCACAAATAATGTTTTTAAATTATAACAAAATAATTAACATAGTTATTTATCTTTAAATCAGTAATTTCGTCAAAATTTGAACTTAAAATATCTATAAAAAATAATTTTATTTATTTATTAAATTTTATAGTTTTAGTTTGAACTACTTATGATGAATCTTGAATTAAATTTTCAAAACTAAGATACAAAAGAAAAAGGTTTTATGAATTTCTAACTACAAACTAATTTGCATTTTTTCACAATTATCTCGAATTTTTTCAAAATTCTAATCTCAAACGCACATGAAAAAAGTTGTGCATATATATTTTTAATATTGACTTTTCATAATTAAAGCATTATAATTTAAAAACTAAAGTATTTTTACTAACACAAAAAGTATTTATAAGCACAAAAACATACATTATTGTAAAATGAATGCATATTCATCACTCCGCTCAAAATCTAAAAACTAATTACAAAAAATAAATAGTTGATTTAACAAATAACAGTTAAGTAGTTTAATGAATGTATTTTAGGAGCTCAGAGAACATTTATCGTTAATTGAAGATATCCGGTGTGCGGAAAAAGACTTAATGGAAGTGCAAGAACGTCTTTTAAGAGTTGACAACAAAGATGATTGGATTGAACTGAAGCCCTGGAACGTCAAAAATTACACACTTCTTTGTCCACGGATGTTTGCCTTCAATGCGGAAAAAAAAAAAGAAAGTGTGTTGTGTGTACTTACATTTTTTTGTTTTTTTTTTAATACGTTTTTATTAGACTAGTATGTATTTTAAATCAGGTGTTTCAAGTAAAAAAATTGTTAAAAAAAACGTTTATGGTATATACAGTGAGATGAGACGACTCAGATTGGGCTTAAATAAAGAACGACGCATGTTAGTGAACTAAAAATACACGTATGTAGATACTATCCAAAAGATTATCATAATATCTTGTTTAGGTTGAGTTTGCCACATTGTGTAACCAAAATCAAACGAACATTACCTATTTTAGATAAAACCATGAATAATGGATTGTCTGTAAATACCAATATTGTGAGGTTTAATCGCTTCATATCTGGTGGAATTTACAAAGTAAAAACCATTGTAATTTTGTACTAAGTATAATACTATCCATTCTTATTCAAAATATACATATTTCATAAACTTTTATGTTTAAAAGTGTAAAAGTTACATACATTATTAAATTTTTAATGAAGGAAATGTATTAAGAAACATAACTGCAATAGTAAAAATAATTAATAAGACGTCTAAAAGTAATTTAGATACGTTGTTTATGGTTATTATGTATGAATACGTATAAATACGATTTTAATAGGAGAACACTTTTCACAAAAAATTGTAAAATAAACAAATGTGAATTAACATAAAAAAAAAGCTTATACAAATATTTTTTTGTTATTCAGTTTCAAATGCATAATTTAAAAATATTTCTTAAAAATATACAGAAGCCGTTTTTGTTTAAATTAAATAACATTATTTAAACATGAATAACTTATTTGAGTTTTTGGTTAACGGTAGAAGTTATAAAGTATCAATTTAAGGAGTAATTTTAATGGAAAAACTTGACTTAAATGCTATAAATAGAAAAAAGTTGTCTGTCTGTGAAACTTTCATTTCAGAATTACCACTTCGGTACCAACTTACATTCAAATAATAAATGCGAAATATAGCAAGAAATTAATTTTAGATACAGTATCTACTTTAATAGTTTTTAACTAAATCAACATTTTATTTCACTAAAATTATTAATTCTCCTTGATTTAACTTCTTAATATTTTTAAATATATAAATTTGAGTAGTGATTTCATTTAAATATTAAGCAGTCATATTTTGAATGTAACGGCAGAAAATTAATATTATCATGTGAGATGAATAATAGTGAATTTAAAAATAAATTTGTATTATCGTTAATAATAACACTCAATTTAGAAAATAAAAATATATAATATGTACTCTAAATTTAAATATACATTTATTTATTAGATATACATTAACAAGTACTAGTCATCTAAATGAAAAAACACTTTTTCAGAAAACGGTTATCATAAGAAATTCTGGAAAAAGACTGATAGCTTTCAAATTATTAACAAGCAATTTATCATGGTTTGAATACGATTATAAGCCTATATGTCCGCTTGCTCCCGGTATGAACGCTAAACTTACTGTAACATTTAAATGTATGTCGATGGAAGATAAATTTGAACTGATAGCATTAATGACAGATGAGAATAAAAAAATTAATATTCTTATTGGTGCAGAAAACGAGTCACCAATACTGAACTGTAAGTATTTTGAAAATTCTGTAATAATATGTATTTATTTCATGGTCCTCGATTCTGTTATTTTAATATTGTGAAATAATTTGTAAAACAATCGTTATGCTTTGTAAAAAATCAGCATGTAAACACACAAACAATAAAAAAAGAAAAGTTTTTACTAAGTAACAAACAATTTTAATTCCAAATCTGGGAGCTAGTATATTTTAAATTTATAGCTTTTTATTTAAAAATTTAATGTATTGTTTAAATGTTGTTTTAATTGTTTGGTTTTTTTTTATGCGATTAAGAATTAAAATACCCTCGTGATTTATTTGTTTTGGTATAGGACAAAAATAAAAATTCACGTAATTTACTGGTGAATATAAAAGTAAACATTCAGTTTTTTTTATTTATTTAAGAAAATGTGTACATTAATTACTGAAAATGTATGATAAAAAAAAAATATATATATATATAAGTGGTTATCTATATCTCTTTGTTATAAATATTTATTGTCACTTGTTAAAAACTCCTGAAATTTTTAATTGCAAAATTTACCTAAACAATTATAAATATAATTATTATTATTTCCACAAATATTGCTTAAACAGGTACAAGGGGTGTCTTACGTAAAAACATATTTAGTTACCTAAAATAAAAACATGTTACACTAGCTGTTTGGTGCGTAACAGATAAAAATGTAAACGTCTATGTAAAATTATACAGGTATTTAAGTTTTCTTCTAAAATATGATATCTAATGAAATCAATATAATCATTTATAGTAAATAAGGAAACAGAAAAATCATGAATTACTAAAAATATATACGGCATTTACCAACAATATTACATTTGTTTTATATATTTTTTTTAAATTTTGTAAGCAAAATTTTGTATTGCTGCAGACACTTTTTAAGTAATAAAAAAAATATAAAAATCTCTAGAATTTTAAAATGTGATCTTTAAATATACTTAAAAATTCCAAAAACTTTAAATTTTAAATCCACCATTAAATTAATTGAGTGAGCGTGGTGAATCACTCTGCATACTTATAATTTTAAACTGTAAATTACGTAGTTTTAACTTTTTTCGTATTTTACTACAATAGGTGGTTTAGGTCAGTATAGTCACCAATTGGCGGCCCGCAGACAAGGAAAAAAAGTAAAAATCAATAATGAAATACATAAAAAGAAAATTATATTATGGTGTTATAATTTATCGTTTTTGCTCATTGGATTATGCTGATTATCAAGCATATCTTATCACTCGTATCTTAAAGTTTGAATTAGATGATCATCTGTGAAATAACCAATTACTCGTCGACAGTTCCTCAATCACTGCGGACCTATGTTGACTTAATTTTTGTTATATCACTGTGTTAATTTCTACCTGTTTGTTTTGTTTTTATTTGATTATTGTAGAGAAAAAAAAAAGATGAATTTTAAAACAGACAATTTTTGTTTAAGTGGATGGCATTAAAAGTACTAGTTTATTTTATCAAACCGCTCAAAGACCTTCCCAATTTATTTGATTTACAAACCGTTTTGGACACAATGCAGTCTCGCGGTGATTGCCGAGAAGAAATTTTTATAAATGGTCGTCGATATACCAACACTATTAGACAGCAGCAACTACCGCCCTAACAATCCTTCACATGTCATCCACCCACCGCCCGCCAACAAACATGCTAACAAAGACAGTTTGTCAATATAGTTTCATTAGGTACATAAGCTATAAGTATTCGGACTAGTAATTTAGGATGACTTTCAACATTAGTTATTAAAATAACACCCAGAGTGCTAAATACCTACATGGCCACAAACAGCGTGTTCACAAGTACTTTTAAGTAGAAATTCTAATTTAATTTAATCATAAATTAAACTATACTATTAAAATATTGTGGATTGAATAAACGTATTAGTACTAGGATATAATTATGCTATGTAGATAAAATTGTATAGTACTACATAGCATTACTTTGTTTTTTTGTAAGAGTATACTAACGTGCGTATGGAAATTATTAAAAATAATACGATATAATAGTTGTTTTTATTTTAGGTCAAACGAAATGAATTACATTTTATTGTATTTTACTCAAAGCCATGTGCTTATTCTTATATGTACAATTTGCATTATACATAAACATTTACTAAAAAATCTATGACCCATAATAATACAATAGCCTTCTCAAAAAAACACCATATTTTTAGTCATTGTAATTTATTTTTTCCATTTAATGCAACGTTATAGAGATAATAAAACGTGAGAAAAATCGTTATAAATTTTAAACAAAAATTAGTGCATTCCCGTGAGTAAAAACTATAGAGGATTCTTAAGAAGATTTATAAGCTTTCAAAGACTTAATTTAAGGCTTTTTGAGTTTTAATTCAGACCATTCTATATATTGTCAGGTTTTTTGTATACTTTTTTTTTTTAATCATTATACCAACAATATAGTTGTGACTTTATTTTTCAATCATGTAATTAAACATATCGTGTATACCTGTAACTTGTATTTACAATTTGATAATATCATAACAAGTTTAATTAAACTGCTAAACACATTTCTCTTGCTTTTAGATACTCTAGAATGTTATGATGACATGAAAACTACTGACTGTAAAAAATTAGCCCTACGAAATCCATCAAGTGCTTGCTTGTTTGAGTGCAATGCTTGCCTAGTGGGTGCTCGTAAAACCGTGATTGTCAAAATAAAAAATGTTGGACGATCATCAAAATTTATTTTGGTTCCTGAAAACGTATGGTATACAAAATCAGTAGAAGTAAGTACACGCATCTTATAATATTTAGTCTAGGTAAGTACGCAGAGATGAAATTTGAAGTTTAAAAGTTAAATTTAATGACCATAATGTGAATAAGTATCAGACAAACATGGTTAACATTAAATATATCAACAAAATTAAGTTATAATATGCAGTAATATAATCTTACTTAATCAATTATTATTAAAATGTTAGTATTATTAAACAAATATTTAATAAATATTTTTATACATTTAAATGTAGGTAAGTGGTGTATTATATTCATGATTTTTGATAAATATGTAAAGAGTTTATAACAATATACAATACTATCTTTAAAATAAAACGTTGATTATACTAAAATAATAAAAAAAATTACTTTTTCTTCATATTAAAATGGTATCCATTTAGTATTGCGATTGTATTATTTAGTTTAAAAATGTAAATAGTTTAGTATTACACGATAAGCTGCAAGAGTAATAGGGTATATAAGTAAAGAAATTCAATGAAACAAGTAAAACTATTTATCAAACTACTCGTTTTATTTAAATACTGAATAATTAATGTATTAATAAATACGTTTGACGCATATTCAAATATATACACACTTAGTCGAATATCGTCTTTGCTTTTACGAAGTTCAGCTGTGATGTATACAAAATTATTCACTCAGTTAATGGGATTTATTTATCCACAAAATTTAAATGAGCAACATTATAAAGTCATACTGTATAAAAAAAAATATATATATATAAGTAATTTAAATCACTCAATTAACTTTAGTTTATAAAGTAACGTAGATACATAAATTCAATTCACAATATACATATATAAATTAAACATTAAAATGGCTGATATGGATCAATATTATATTAAATAAATCACACTCAAAACTTTAATAGGAAGCTATATGATTACGATAATAAATTATTGTACCGTCACAACATTTAATCAATTTGATTTTTAACTGCATGTGTATAATAATATAAATAAAAAAGGTGGCTAATAATAAGAACTCAAAAGTAAAAGAGCAAAAAAAGATATGTTGAATATAACATGGTTATTATAGATTTATTTAGCTTTCAGTGTAATTTATTTTTTCAAATATAGAATTATATTATTTAACTTAATGCTCGTTAGTTGTAAAACTTATTTTAAGCGTAAAACAAAATTAATTTATATAAAATCATAATTATCGGTAACCATTAATTATGAAATCTAATGAATTGTTTAAGTAACATAAAAAATCCATTTCAATGAAAATGTATATATTTTATTATAGTCTTTGAGTTTAATATTCTTGAATCCAACACTGCATCTTATAAATCAACTAATATCCATGTATACATTATAATTTATAATACATGGTTATATTCTTATGTATATTTTAGGATGTAGAATGGAAGGAAACAATAAGCTTAGGTGCATTTACAATCACACCGTCAATATTCGAGATTAATTTTGAACAGACAATGGAACTTACTGTTTTATTTGAGCCACGTTTGCCATCATTTTACGTATGTTTTTTTTTTTTTAATTTTAAATTTTAAATTTTTAAAATAGGACAAAATATTTAACGATTTAAATAATAAAACTAATAACACTAATAAGCACATATACACTGTAGTAAATTCCTATTTAGTTTTGAATAAATATAAACGGATAACATGGCAAAACTTCTAGTCGATATTTCACGAAATTTCTATCTAAATTTTACATAACTTAATAATAATTATACTAATTATAGCCAGTCGAGAACAGCGCTGTACACAATTTTTATTCATATTATCGAAAGACATTTTTATCAATGAATCGTCAGTGCTACGCTTAAAAGAAAAAACTCAATTTATTTCAAGGAATCTAATCTAATCTATGTGTATTTTATATTCATTCCTTTTTTTGTTCATAAGCAATAAGCCGATTAACCTTTTTAAAATTAGCAGAAAGATAAACAAAATATTTTTGTTAAAATAAAAATAAATCATTAAATTTGAATTCCGGTCGACTTATAACTCTAAAATTTTCAAACACTGCAAACTGTTGACTATTGTATGTTTGTCTTTGAATATTTAAATATAAATTCTCATTAAAAGATTTTGATAAGATATTTTATACGTTGAAAAAATGTTATGAAACCATATTTAAAAATACCAATAATAATAGTTCTATAAATAAAAGATTCTAGTCGAAATCATAAAAAGACAAACTTACCAATATAGATTTGAAATAGAAAACTTTGCAATGTTTATTAATAAACTTAAAAATTGACATAAATATATTCTCAGTAAGATATAATTAATCACCGTTTTTATTTAATAAAACCAGCTTAAATTTGATGATAATTATATATATAAAAATAATAATTACTATCAAAATCTTAAGTAAAGAATTCGTATTAAAAATACATCAATATTAAATTGCGTTCACTAACAAATTGTAAACTATAACAATATTAAACATTCGTTTGTTTCAAATCACATATGTTTTACAATGCTTTAATCGACTTTATAGTTAATTATGATAACTTGAAAAGGGTTAAGATTATTTCTTAATAGTTATTTTACAATATTCATCCAACAAAATGCTTAAATATTATTTAAAATTAACAGATAAAATGTTTTACAAAATATCTATGATAAAAATAAAACTTGACGGATCTAAGATTTACTGAAAATACCTTAAATTGTTTAAACACTAACATGCAATTTAACGAATAATTTTTTTTTAGGATGTTAAACATTACCATAGATAACACAGTCGTGCTTAATTAGTTTTTAAAGTGATGAATCTTAAGTTTGGTCACTAATTTAACGTAGTTAAAACATTTCACAATGCGATTCCCTTGAAATGTACAAGCGTATAATTTATATTCAAATCGTATTACGTTTTACAATTATTTCCATTATCACCTCAAAAATTGCATTTTACTTTTAGGTACCTAAATATTTTTATTTGAATATTATCAGATTATATATATATATAAATACTAATTATCTGATAGTGTTTGGTTTTTGTTTTAAAATTGAGATTATCTACTATCAACTATAACTTCAAACTTTATTTTCAATGTTTTTACTTAAAAGTACAGTAATACGTTCTTGATAAATTTATGAAAATAACTTTTGAAATCTTCTTTTCAACTAAATATGATGAGTAATTATTCATTTTTCAATAATTCAAATTGTGTCTTCTTAGACTTTCTGCTTGTGGGATTCGAAAGCACATTGACTTAGATGTTTTACCCAAAAAGTTATGGTTAGAAACTTATTACTATTATTATTATTATTATTATTATTATTACTACTACTACTTCTACTACTACTACTACTACTACTACTAGTTGTATACTATTATTTGTCCCTTATTTCATTTCTATTCAGATCAATGCCGTGTATTGTACGTGTCTATTTTATGAAACATATCCTCATTACATTACAAATACACACATTGTTTCGACGGTCTTATACGTAGAAGCTATTTACATTTGGCACATGTTCAAAAGGCATTGAGATGTTTCTATCTACTCTTTGTTTTCACGTTGAGTACTTACATAATAACAGTAATACTCACAATCTTACACGCTGCTCCGTTACATAACTTTTCTAAAATGACTTTCTTCTCGAAACCTCAATCATCTACTGTTGTCGCGTATAAATATTAAAAATAAAAGTTTTCCAGTTGAGATTAATCTCAGTATTTGTTCTATTTATCTTTGCATAAGGCATTTTACAGCCATATGCACACCAGCGACGATTCTATGTGTGTTCCCAGGTGTGCTGAGAAATTATGTCAAACTTTGAGATGTCAAATTTTTGTAATAATTTTATATGGCGTATATTAAAGTCGGTATTACCATTCGTTTTACTGTACTAGTCATTACATTACAATGTTAACCCAACCGTTTTGACGGCAAAACTTCATACGAAAACGTTTTGTCATTGCACTCAGATTCAAAGACATAACTAGCCCAAACGAATCCGTTATAATAAATGAATATATATATATATTTATATATGTATAATAATCTTCATATACGAGTACATACAAGCTATAATAATAGTCATGTCAATCGTCAGGAGTGATGTCACGTGCACTGTGACGCGGCGTGCCAATTGTCTCGGTCTGAGACGATGCGCACTGCCTTGTGATAATAGGGGACCCTTCCCGCCCACCAGGTAAAAATCGATAACCAACTGATGTTGTGTTTTTGGGTTTGCAGTGCACCAGATTTATAATCGTGTCGGACAATTCGTGCGCACAAGAAGTGAACGTGTTTGGCGATGGTCAAATGTTTGGGGCTCGGAGCGTTCGACTGTCGGTAAGAAGTCGGGCATGGGCCGGGGGGCAGGAAGGGAAAACAAAACCACTATAAAGCTCTCATGCCGTCTACCGGTGTGTGAGTATGTGTTTACATATATATATTTATATATATGTATATACATATTTATACATTTTTACCTATGACCTGACGTAGGGACCTGGTTTGCTGAGCACTCAGGCAGAGGCAGAAAGTTACGTGCTCGACATGGGAAAAATTGGCGAGGTGGTCCGGTACGTGTACGCGAAAAACATGAGGTACACCCAAACGCGCTTACGGATTAACCCCACGTTACCGGCACAACGACTGTCATAGCGATATATGAGTTTGTGTGTGTGTGTGATATTTCAGCTATTATACGATACGATAATTAAACAATTCTCTGGGAGAACCAAATCTCTCTCTCAGTTATGAAGAAGAGAGCGTTAGGCTAGGTTAGGTTATTACAAGGTTAAGGTTTCAGACAATAAAAAAATTAAATCTTATGGACTTCAGATGAATTAATTGTACATGGTAGAAATTGAGACAGCGTTCTGTTTTCGACATGAAGAACAAATAACGACTATGATGCATTTTAAAGGGAAAACCGAATCAATAAAATATAAATTCATTGTTACGACAAGATGAAGATTCGTTGATTTTTCTGCTGCAATCATAATATTTTAATCAATAGCCATGCTTTATAATTGAGGAATTGAATGTTAAAAAATATTCGTTACTCTCGTAATATACAATTCTTCTAATACAGATAAATTAAAAATAAATTAATACCTACTATATTCATTATTCATTGACATTATTCGAACAATCAAATTCGATATGGCATTACTTTTATATAAATAGGAAGTGTTGTTAACTTTAAAATAGAAGATATTAACGAAAGAAGCGTATACATAATGCTAAAACCCAACAAATTTAAATTTATGGGAAATCATAAGAAATGTGTGAAAACAAATTATTGTTTTTTACATTATTAGGTTTTAAAAAAACATTCAAAAAAATAATTGGTGATCACTATACTATATCAACAATTACCATTGAATTATTTTCACTTTAAAATTAAATTATGAATAAATAATATATTATAGAAAATAAGTACAAAAATGAATACATTTATTAAATATCATTAACACTAAGACAAAGAGCTTACAAAATTTTATTTTTTAATGATTTCTCTCATTGGTTTAAATCATACATTTTTCATGGACTGGCTTTATCGTAAATATCTCGTTTTTCTTTTTAATCACGTCATTTTTCGAACGTCGGGTTAGTATGTAAAAAAAAAAAAAATTATTAACTATATTATTAAAAAAATGAATTATGAAGTTTTACAACACTTAAATACATGCGAGTGGGAGAAAAATGTGCGATATAAAACGTATCAATTATTAGCTTGTTCGATATAAAATACCATAAATCTCTTTTTTTTTGTTATTATTTTTTTCTACTTTTTTTGTCCTCTCAAATAGTCGTATCAAATATCCGTATCGCTGGATCATTAATCATGCAATCGACAATCCAGGTTCAAAAAATGCCAAAGTAAATTTCAACATTCATCCGTCAACTGGGTTATTAGACAAGTTCTCGAAAACGATGTTTCGAGTGGAATGTGGCGTTTCTAACGAGATAGTCAATGAACAACTTACGGGCAAGTATCGTGTAACTGCTACGTAAGTATTACGTGTTTTTATATTGTTTCATATCATCTCGTAAATGTCCACACAACAAAAATTGTAACAAGATGTTAGGTCAATTGATATCCTTCAAAACTATACGCATTAAACCATAAAAGGAGCATTTTATAGAGTACACTAATTATTCATTTTTAGTCTACTAAACAAATATGTTATTATATCGTTCTTTCGTATTAATGAACCATTCAAAACGCTAAATTTAAACAATATTCCTTTAATATCAGAAACATTTTACTATAACAATTCAATTACAATTATAATAAAATCATTATAAATTAAACAAAACCATTTTTCAATCAATAACTAGATAAAAAATATCCAACAAATATTTTGAGGTTTTTAAAAACAATATAAAATACTTATATCAATATTTTTTTTCTTGTAATTGTTAACAAAATTATTATTATTGTAGTCAGTTATAAATACATACATTTTTTAAATAAAATGAAAAGTAATTATTATTATAGTTTACTGTTACATAACTTTTATCAGCACTGCGTTCTGCATAAAAATTTTTAAATTTTCAAATTAAAAAAAAGAGGTCAATGAAATCTATTTAACTTTTTTTTTTTTAACTAATAAATTGAACAAAAGTACACTATAATCAGCAAAATTATTTAGTCAAAAAACATTTTAGCAATTAAATCTATTAAACGCTATTTACATTTACATTTTCTTAATCAGACACATACATTTTTTAAAATAAATTAAAAAAATCCACACTAATAAAAACAAATTTTAAGTATACTAAGCACGTATACAGAGTGAGATGAAGGTTGTTCCTCCCTCAAAATTGTTTTCTGCTTACGTGCCTGACCTATATTAAAATATTTTGATGTTTTTATATGTATCACAACAGTATTACTGTATTAGTAACGTCTTTGCCGGATGAAGCTAATTATGTACTGAGATATGATAACGTCATAAAAAAAAAGAAAAAAGATTTATAAATATAATTAATTTTGATATTACTTAATACTTGAATATTTCTATTTATATGATTTTTATTTTTTATAATTATTCATCACTGTTTTTGAATTCTTAGACATTAAATTAATTCAAATAATTGTGAATATTATGATGACATAACAACTCCTACGGGCAACGACATTACAGTCGAAAGAATCATAATGTTCACATTCCACCATATTGAGTTAAAAATATTTTATCTAAGTCAATGGATACAGAATATATATGAGATAGTGTAAAAGGCTAACAATTATATGAAAAAAACAAAAAAATAAATAAATAATATTTCTATGAGTAAATATCAGTAGTACTAAACGAAATAAATTCATCAAAGGTGAATCGGTGTTATGTCCCAATTCTTCAAATTGAAATTCATATCACATATCGTTATAATTGGTACATTTCAACATCTTCAGTATTTTGATTACTTATTTTGTAGCTAATAATTTTTAGAATATTATTTTTACTCCAACAAATTTTAAAAATATCTGTCTTATTATTTCACTTATTAAAGGTTTACTAACAGTTATTGATTAGTATTGATTAAAATAAATTTAAAAGGTGCTTTTTTATTACATGTAATTTTAAATTATAGCATTTAATTTAATACAAGCTAAATAAGTTGATTAAATTGATGGTTTTAAATATTGTATTAGTTAGGTATAAAAATAGTCATCTAAACTAATTGTGTCATCTGATCGAATGTTGACTAAAATAGATTTATAAGACATATTTATATATAATGACGTCTTAATGCGAATTTTTATAATTAAATATGTCATTCATAGGATTCGTAAGGTTCTTTATAATGAAAAAAAAAGGATTATGACGAATGCCATGGTTATTTAATTTAAAATAAAAATAGTTTGAAATTAGAACGTTTAAATGAGAACTCTAGATTGTATTTTTATGCTAATTTTGGGTTTGGTACATTAATTTTGATGTGTACCATAAATAAAGGTAGCGCATAATTTACACTATACTCCAGTTTTATTAAAAGTTATCATAAAACTTTTATAAATCTCCCTAAAACATTTATGTAAATGCATATATTTTCAAAATAAGTAAGAACAATATCAAAAATAAACGCGTAAAAATAGTACTTTAAGAATAGCTGAAATAAATACTAAGTTAAGATACAATTCATATTAGAATAGTATAAGAACAAAAAAATGGATCTCAGATTATTTAAACAAAAAAACAGTTATTCAACAAATAAAATATTAAACAACCAGACTATTAATAATTTAATTCTTACGTTTTATATATTACATAATATTTTCATAAACCTCATACTGGACAAATATTTTAGTTTTCAAAATGGTGAATGAAAATATTTTTTTTTCAAATAAAAACATAAGCTTAAACTTTGATCAAGTATTACAATTTATCGAATACATTTTCGGAAACACAATATGTTTATTTTTCTGGAATATAAATTATGCAATTATAAATATGCATTATTGCATATTTTAAGGCTAATATTTTATCTCTAATGAATTATCTTTAATTTTAAATTTTTATTATTGGTTTTTAAATGGTACTATGTTTTATTACTTTTTGTTCGCATTATACTTTTTTTGCATTATTTATTAAAGTTGATTTAAAGTATTATTATTAAAATTAAAAGTATAAAACGTTGTACTTAAAATGTACGTAAAAATTATATAATTCTTTCAACGTAGTGGAAAACTTATAAATTTATGATCAAAATTTGAAACACTATTTATTATTATAAAAACTTGATAATTAACACTTCAAAATAACAAAATTATTTAAGTAGTTAAAATAAAATAAAACTCATTTGCATTATTTAAAATTAATATAAACATGATAAAAACTATGAGATCACCAAATAGTAAAAAACAGTAACCGTTTTGTTTTTAAATTATAATAGAGTGCTAGGTAACTATTTGTAATATAAAATGTTCACAATCTACTGTACTTTTTAGTTTAATATTTTTTTTTACTCTAAGTATTATCCAAAAATGTAACACATTTTTTTAACAATTATACTATTATACTTTATTACTGTATTCTTATAGATTATAAGTTGAACACAAATTGTATTTTATAAATGTTAATTTTTAAAATATCTATTAAATACTTTTTGCATTAAAAATAAAGCAAATTCCAGTTTTTAATATCTTAACCTTTTTCCAGTAATTCTTAGCCCAACCCCAGAATCTATGACTCGTTTATTGAATAAGTACAATAATTATTTAACATTATAGGTACTCTTACAAATTTCAAAATACTCGACTAAATAAAATTCAATATTCTAGTATATTTTCTCTATAATTAGCACTAGACATTAAACCATAGTTTGTAATTATATTTAAAAATAACTAATTAGTAAATAGTATAAGAATCTGTTTTAAATTATATTTAGCACATAATATATCACCGACATAATGTTACTTAATATACAATGTTTAATGATATTTTAAATGTAATGTTTAAATAGTTAAAAGTAATTAAACTCAGTACATTATTTAGTTTATAAGGGGTACAAAGTACTAACAAATTTATTCATGCACACGACATATTATAATAGTTTTATAGTGAAACTTACTAGTGAAAATTTAGATTAGTTACTTGAATTACAATTGCCATAATTTTCGTTCAATTATTTTACTCTTGTTTGTGTAAATTGAATTAATATAATTAATAAAGTTATTAGTGTTATATATTTATAAACTTTTTATTAATGTAATATAGACAAAACAAAAAGTAGCTATTACCTATATTTAATAGTTTTAGTTGACTTAATTTCTATACATAATTTCTAAGTATAAGTTAGAATATTAGAAATAAATAAAAATTAAAGTGTATTATTTTATAGCTTATTAATAATTATTATACCATGATGTTGTTGTTAAAATGTATTTGTATAATTTTATTAAATTTGATAAACTATGAACAGACACTAAGAACAGATTAAACAAACGTCACAACTCTACATTAAATTAATAATTAGCCTAATAAATCATATTATTATTATTATTATTATTTTTTTTTTTTTTAAACATAAAATATCAGGATTAAAAGCCGATAGAAGAATATCTCTAGATAAATAATAAATACATTTTAAAACGTTAATAGCATCAAAACTTTTTTAACATTTATCTTTATTTCTTATAAGTTTATAACGCGTTATATAGTTATATTTTATGAGCTCTGTTATTACAAAATCATTAGTTTAAAAATATTTTGGATCAATAATTTGTTAACACTGCATTATTTATTTATATAAAAGTATATATTATATCTACTCGCTAAACCAAAGTATAATTTGATTTAAATATAAATTTATACCTAACCTACGTATTTTTTTTTTTTTATATATATATATAAAAAAATAAAAAGCATGATGATTGATGATATCCCCAAAGAAAGTATCGACGATCAAAATATATATTACGAAGAACAAGAGGACAACCCAGAGGTAAAATATCTAAGTATAATTAATTAAATATTAATTAATTATCCAAGATTAATAAGAGTTCCATTACATTATATAATCTCCTTGTGAAATGGAGATATAAATATAAATATTTTACAATATACAAAGTATAATATATAATGACATCACGGAACAGTGAAGAAAAAACCATTATTTAATCTTATAATATTTTAAAATAACCGATAATAAACTCACGTAGGTGAAACCAAAACAACTTTTTGAATAAGAATGATAGAATTTTATTAAAAATATTGTGTACTACTTACTTAATCCAGATTATTTATTAATATTACTTTTAAATAAACAAATATTTGTAGTGATGCAAACTCAATGACTTGTTTTGTATGTGATAATTTTTTTTTCCCAAATGTTGGTTTAATAATGTGCATATTATCTAAAAGGAGAGGGTCGACAATTATATTATAAAAATAAAACTAATTAAATTAAATTCGCTGTGAACTATATGAAAGGTATAATCACGAGAAACGGCAGGTAATGAATGTATATTATTATGTAGATCGTAGTATAATTACTATATATTGTAGTATACATACTCATACTAAAATTATTGTATGAGAGTTTAATATTAGATAGGTTCCCTAACCGTTTTATCATTTTACCAACGACTTGAACGCGGTCATTTCAGCAACTTTGAACATAATATTACTCAATAAAATATAACACGGCAGTAAACCCGTACATAATATTGTATATAATGTTTCCACGCTACGGAACTACATGTAGTTTAATTTATGGCGATTGTTTTCTCGCAGAACGAGGATAATTTTATAAGATGACCGTCTGTATCAAACATTATTAATAAAAATAACTTTAACGTACAGATAATTAGACTGTTATTTTATTTCAAATGTTTTTTTTTTATTAAAAACGCATTACAATATACAGTCATGTGTTTTAATAAGAATAGACGTCATGAAACAATAAATGATGTATTTTAATTTCTAAGACAATCTTAGTTTTTAAAATGTACGCTTAAGAGAAATATTTAATCCAAATCTACCGAACATTAATTTATAAGCAAAAATAAAAAGTAAGAATGTAATTTTGTAAATCTGAAGGTAAATGGACATAATTTTTGAGCACATATTAAAATAAATATAATAGAGAATTTATAATATTATTTTGAAATTAAAAAAAAAAAAACCATTTATTTTACTTAACTTTTTCACTAATTATCATCAAAATTCAATTAATAATTTTAACACAAACACATTTTTATTTTTTTTTATTCGAGTAAACTTTATAAACGCATAAATATTTAATAATTTACACCTTAAAATTTGATTAGGTTTTAAATGATAATCATACTAAATTATAAAATACTTTAAAAGTGCTTTCCTTAGATATTATTAAAATAATAAAAAATACATATTTTTATTGAGGGCTTCATAAAATATAATACCATTTTCAATATGCTTACCATATATATTATATACACTTAACAAAACCAAAATTAAACATTATTGATTAAACAAATTTCGTTTTATACTATTAATTTTCTAGTCATCTTCTGACTAAAATGGAAAAAATGAAAAAAAAAATTAATATATTTCGTTTGCAAATAACTAAAATTTTTAAACGAATGTATAATCCGGTTTTTCTCGTTTATATAGTCACTGTCGATAGAAGCAGCTCAAATCGAAGTTATATCCGAGTATAATGGGAAAGAACGTATATCATTATACACAGACCGCATAATTATAGACTTGAATTGGCACCAACTAAGGTAAACAAAAACGGAAATAATATTATGTACACATTTGTTATACAACTTTTTTATTTTTATTGCAATTAAACGTAATGACGTGTTTCGAATAGAACCGATCTGTGCGTAAAAGAAACAGTGGACTTTATAAACAACGGATCGTATCCCGTGCACGTTTCGTGGATTCCCAGCGCCGATAACGCTAGCGCATCCATAGAAGTGGAACCCAAGTCGTTTGAAGTTACAGATCGGGCCAAAATCAGCGTACATGTCGAACCCTTATGTCCGGGTCCGTTCCGGCAGATGTTAAGGTTTGTGACCAAAAATCGGGACTGCGACACCGACGAAACAATAGTTTACGTACGCGGAAAGGTCGAACAGACTCCTAACGTGCGCGTTCGGCCGGCAATAGCACCGTTTGACAACATCTGCGCCGGTACACTAGAGTCGTACGATGTCGAATTTAATGTGATATCTGATGGCCCATTTACCGTACAAAGGTATCTATATGAATTCGACACCGTCGGTAAGCTTACTTTGCACGGTGATGTCAAGTTGTTTGGCCCGTACGGAAACGAAAATACGACGTATACTACGTTAAACTTTAAAACACCAGTTGAAATCGAAGTAAGTTAAAATTCAGAAAAAAAAACTTCGATCAAAAATTTAGTTAAACGCGTCTGATAGAAAATAAAATGCAGCTAATATGAAATTTAACGCCTTCTCGCATATTTTTCTTTGACAATCGAAAAAAAAAAACAAAAATATAAGTGTGTAATGTATTTGTAATATATTCGTGATCTAGTGTTTCAAGTATTATCAAATTTGCATTTGCTAATACGTTTTGAAATTCTATTATTGAAGGTGTAAACAATTTTAACCTTTTAACATACAATTATGGAATGAATAGATATCACATAACGCATTTGTAACATCTATCATTCATTTTTATTTCTTGATTTTAATTAATTATACTTCACACATTATCATAATTATTGTATGATATTGATCTAAAATTAAAACAAAAAATGTTCTACTTGCTAATGTGTACATCTAATGTGTACTTTCCTTAAATAAAATAAAACGATACTAAATATGTTTGATTCATTTACTATTATATCATAAAATATAATATTATTATAGTAGTTTTATTAAATCTTTTGTAAATGCCTAGTAAAATTAATCAAATTTTACTCGTATATTTCATACAAATACTTTATATGTATATACTTACTTCTAATAGAAATTATGAATAAAGAATGAAGTGAAAAGTAATTCATTTCATTATTTATAAAAACTCGGAGGTGTTAAATAACGTCATTTTCACTTGGTATAATCAATAATAGTCATATTTTATTTCATTTTCTCAGTTCAATATTACATCAAATCGTGAAATATTATTGAGTAATTTAAAGAAAAATTAAGTTAGCAACAATATTTAAAGAGAAAAATTGTAAAAAAAGAATTACATAATCTACCTAACGACATATATAATGTACTTAAAATAAAATCTACAGCACAACTATATGCCTTTCATCCAATTAATACCATACAGCATAATTATGAACAGTTAATTAAAATTAAATCGTTATAGACTAATATTATATATTGAATTGAAATAAAAAGTCATTTTTATAAGCTATTAAATTTGCTTTGAAAAAAAAAATCTTAACAAAAAAGTAGGTTAAATTATATTTCAAACTTGGGACGCATAAAATTAAAATAATTTTCATCCTCGTGTTTTAATTAAATGGTGCAGAATACCTTGAATATATCTAGTCAGGCGAATAAGTGATTATACGAGCATGCTTAAATTAGTTTATATATTTTATTTATTTATTACTAAAGGAACTCATCTACTACCTGAGAAGTCCTCCACAATAATATCTGTTTAACCTAACCTTTAGGCGACTGGGATCTCGTGTCAATTAGCCAAATGGTCGTTCACCGGTTCAAAGACGGTGCATACTCAGTCCGTTACTTACGCGACATTCCCAGATGTACGTTTGAATGTTAACACCATTACCATTGCAGAGTCTCTTTACAAGGGAATACCTCACACCCACAAAGGAATTCAGTTACTCAATAATGCACATTATGATTTCGTCTACTCTTGGGGCAACCCTATGGGATCGGATTCGGATAAAATAGATTGCATGTTTAAGCCAAGCAGTGGGACTATTAATGGTAATGCGAATGTTGAATTTGAATTTATTATAACTCCGAAAAAAAGTGTAAGTACTACGACACTAAACTCTAACGAAATACACGTGATCCAAGATATATTTATTTTGTCTAGGGCTATTTAAACAAATGCCATATACCGTTTTTTGTACAGTGCAATGTACTTGCACCACAAAAGATAAGTCTCGAATGTCGGATAAATGAATTCAGCGCTACAGTGACATATATCGACGTATATGGTGCACAATATAGCATAACGTGGAAAGACAAGTATGTACAACAACTAATCGATACTTTGTTTTCAGTGACTAAATTAACATTTCTTACTGTTATGTAAAAGTTTAACAAAAACACAATTAATTCTGATTTTGTAATATTATTTCTATTAAATTTTTTAAATAAATAATAATTATAAAATCTACAGGTCAATAAATCAATAATTATTTAATATTGACTAAATTCTAATGATTCTATTTAGTAAATAGAACAGAGTTTTGATTCAATTGTAGTTTATTTTATTCACAGTTACTGTCAACGGCAAAATTAAATACAAAAGGCACTAACTGAAATCCAACAAAGTTTTAAAGCTTTGTTTTCATAACTTAACTATAATATACATATTATTATGTACTTGTAAGTTTATAATCACTATTGTTTTCCTTTTGTTATTATTAAAATGTCAAATGATTCTTTGTTCAATAAATAAATTGGATTTTCGAAAAATATACCTTTTATTATCTGATTTGAAGATAAACCACGTATACCTACAATACGATAATAATTCTTACGATAATAAAAAAAAAAATTTTTAATTTTTAATTTTAATTTTTAATCAATTTTAAAGTTACAACTTCATAAGTAATTACTCTTACTTTTTTTACATTTACATAATTTTATTTAATACAATTTTCATATTTATATTTACATTTTTAAATTTTCCTATAAATATAAAAATATTTAGATGAGCTGTTTAAAAGCTAGAATTAAAATAGAAAAGAAATGACTTACATGCATTAGTGGTTAAAATTGACTCTGCTGATCCTTAAACTTATTTTCAGATGGACATTGAGCTTGTTTTTTTATTTACGCATCTACAAAATAATCCGAAAATCGTGTTATTATTTCGTCGTCAGGCTTTAATATTATTAAATAATTTACAAAATATTAAGATAAATTTTTTGGGAATAGAAATGGTATAATGCCGTATTAAATTAACCAAATTTTAATATTGCTTTTCGTATCTTTATAGTCAATACTCAAACCATTTGTTAAATAACTCTATTCTATGACTTTTATATGAAAGCAACATCATTTATATCTTCATTTGAGACCAAACAATTTTACATGCAAATTTAATAGCTTTCTCAAAATCTATTACATGTATTATGAATTATGATTTATGATATAGTAATATTGTTTTGGAAACTATATTCACAAATAAATTTTATGCAACTAATTAATGATATTTTATTTTTATCAAAAAATAAACATGTAACGAGTGGTGTATAATAGCCATTGATAAAACCAAGTACTGTAAATATTTGTGAGAAGTATTTAGGGCAGTATGAAACCGTACTGTTCATGTTCAAACATTTTGATAATGCAAGAGCTTTTAAATTAGAAATGCAATTAAAAACTATATATTTTAACTGTTTGTTGTTTATTAATAAAAATAACTCTTCTTTATTTGTTTGAATACTGCGTTCGTCAAAAACTAATTGAATAATGATTTAGAGAGTGAAGCACTGTATTAATTATAGCACTATATATTTATTTATCTCGATATTACGTATATCACTTACATGTAAATGTTCGATTAATGACACATTTTTAATAGTGCTACAAAATATTTTACTAATTTTGGTACATATATCTTCGACTACCGTACGTTTCACTATACTATAGTCACGAATTGTTTTTGAAAGTCTTGATCACTTAATGATTCACGGTTAGTATTTACATTTTATTCAAATATTTTATCGTCATCGCTCACCTTATTTAAAAATGCTTTGCAAATTTTAACTGTACATCGCCACTTACCCTCACCTGAACTTAGAGACCAATACATTTTACGAAACTTGAAATTTTAAATTTTTTTCAAGCACATTTTGCGCTGTGACACGAGTTATTTGGCCATCATAACTTCAATGATTAATACGATACGCATTAGCAGACCTATACTAGATATAGAAATAACAATTAATTTTCATATTACTACAATAGTAAATTGATAACGTGTTGCCAACTTGATATTTGGATTTTTTGTTTTTCGAACAAAAATAATGATTGTGGTATTATTGAAAAATTACACAACCATATAGTTATATTTTACAAACAAGGCATAGATTACGTCATACTTTTTTAACATACGTAGATAAAAATTCGGGTTTAAATTTCGCAGTTTACAAAAAAAAAAGATTATTTGGGCGCAGTTTACGAATATTCTTATTTATAATTATAAATAATAATAATAGATTATATTACTTATAAGTATTTAATTAACGTGCATATTCTATTAAACGTCATCTAGGTACATTTTTTTAACTCAACATTTAATAATATATTTATAAGAAAACTTATTATTCTAATATTCTAAATATCATTATTAATTTTCTCATTTACGTTTATTAGTAAAAAACGATGGATAATCAATACAGAACAAAATGAAATTAATTTATTAGAATCCAAAAGTAATCAAACTTCAATAACTCAGTATTTAAATAATTCAGAGACGGAAAATGTAGAAGAATATGAAATTGAGTAAAGTTACAATTCAAAAAATATTTTCTTTATCAGACGAGCCATAAAGTTTTAGATAAAAACCCAAAACAACTCTAATCTACTAATATATTTCTATAAATCATTAAAATTCTTATAAAATTATGTAGAAAATTTTAGCAGAAAATACTAAATTAACAAATATATATATATATATATATTCATATTTCATTATTTTTCTTCAATTTTTAATATTAGTTTAGCTGTTAGTTTTAAATTTTAATCTTATGTAGTTACTTCATTAAATTATTTATTTTTTTTTTTAAATCACTGTAGAAGAAAATAAATTAAAGATATTTATTACGTATGTCTACTAAACTTTTAAGTCAAAAAGTTTATATAATCACAAATTGTAGATATGCACCTATACATAAAAATCTTCTCATAATAATTATATTACCAAAGTAAACGACTATGCGAGTACGCATAAAACTTTCTAGCTCGTTGAGCATAAAAGCTCTGATAAAAGCTAACAGGGAAACCATAAAATGACCGGATACGATTGCGGTATATAGGCCGGAAGACCAGAAACCGACCAAATGGCGTTTTGGAGAATGGCCGAGACGTGACACACCATTGTGCTCACCGTTGGCCGTACAATTTCAACAAGAACTAAACTACTACCATCCCGTTATGGCGTTTAAAGACATTAAATGCAATACAGGCACAAATATTCATACTCAATACAATTGACGATAATCTATTTTATATCTATGTTCTTGAATGTTTAGCTATGGAACAGAGTATAACTATTCGAAAGACTACAAAGATCCCTTGTAAAATTGAAACAAAAGTTAGATATCATGACTATCCTACATCGGACAAAATAGGAAGTGAGTACACATGAATATTTTTGAATTAAACTTACATCAATTATCGTACCTAATCAATTAAATCTCTATAAAACGTAATAATGGGCATATGTAAAGAATACAAACGTTTTCGCTGTAGGATAATGTCTATAGTTTAAAATTTAAAAGGATAAGAGGGACTCGAGGGAAGCTATAATAACTCCGTAACAACATAATATATTAAACATATTATGAATGGGGACAAACAAAAACTGACAAGGTTTTTTTTTTTTTATCGGTGTCCAAATACTGTGTCATTCAGTATGATTGATGAGAAAGGATAAATAACATTTTACGTTAATACCTACCTATTAGAATCACTTATTTAATCACAGAATTATCGCTTATTTAAAATTCCAAACAGAGTAAAATATTTATTTTTTTATTGTACAATGTACATGTTATAAATTACCAGTATTTAGTGCATAAAAATTTTCATAAATCTATATAAGTAATATATAACACTTAAAGAAAATTGTTGTTCAGTAGTTTCCATAACCATAAATGATGTCACCTAATAATAAATTGTAATACCTTAGTTATAAGCTAAATACATTTTATTTAATTTTTTTGCTATACAAGATATTATAATAATCTCAGATTTTAAATTTATGGTAGTTATTTATTTAATAATTATTATCACAGACAACATTTTTCCATTATATATTAATTAGTATTATTTAAAAAAAAAATTATTTCAAAATATATAATTTGTTTAAAAATTAAAAGCATGGTTATAAATAACTATGTTATCTTAACTTTAGTTCAATATTTAAAAATATATTTTATTTTATACTTAATTTTATGAAATGTAAATATTTAAAATTCACGCCACACTGTTATGAAAATATTTAATTAAATAATAGGTTTACTATGACTGATCCATTATCTCTCCATGTATCTTGTTAGTGCAATAGTATTTTAATAGATATAACTATCTTAATAATTCAAACTGCAGAATATGACATTAAGGATTAAGTTATAGACCATGTGACTATCTTACGTATTCCAAAACACACAGTCTTCTTAATCCAACAGATTACCTTAGGCGCCCATAAGAACAATTAATTAAAAGCAATAATAGTTTTTTTTTCAGAAAATATTATTTTTAAAACGCCAAGTATACTATTTCATTTTTTGAATATACAAGTAAAAATAATAATAACACACTGAAAATGTTCAGTTTAAATTAAAACTAAGTTAGGTACATTAAAGATGTTATTATTACTAGTATTTCAAATCGATAGCAAGTTCGACTAGTGGTGTGTTCCTATATTTTTTACAAAGGATAGATAAAATTTAAAAAAATAAGTTAATAAAATGCATATTATTTTGTTGTCGATTCCAAATGACATCTGTATTGATTAAGGTATAAAATGGGAATCACGATAGATTAAAAAAATCAAAACTAAAAACAAGATTGATAAAAATAATGTATTGCTATGATTTTCAATTTGTACATTTTCCATAGGATTACTTCGACTAGTTCAATTTATACATTTTTACTGTATATTTTGAACAGAATAACAAAAATCTATAATTTATTAATTTACACTAATCAAATTCTGTAATATTTTATACACTAACCGAGATTAAAATGAGTTTATTATTTAAATATATAATGTTAATATTCACAGTAATAATGCTGAATTTAAATTATGGTAGAAAATAAGTGCTCATGGCCTATCATCAAACATTATACAGAACGATACATAATTTCAAGTTAAAAAATACTTATTCTTACTATGTTATATTTACTGTGAGACATCAATTCTATACCATTTTGTATAAAGGTTAAATTTTTATTATGTTTACCGTACATAAAATGTATTTAAAAATAATTGTCCATTTAAACCACGTCACAAAATGGCTATACCTACTAGCTAGAGTTTTTTTTCATTAAAAAAATTTTCAAGTGAACATAGATTAATACCAATATCAGATAGATATAGGGTATTTAGCGCGTTTAAGTAAATTTTCATTAGATTATATTGATTATTGAGGAATTTTACTTTTTATTTTTAATATTTTAACATGTATATTAATAACATTTTTCATATTTTTACGAAAAAAAAAAATTATATTCTATTGGTGACAATAATAATAATTATATTATACTATTTCATCATAATATTATAATTTGCTTTACATGAAATTAGAAATGGATGAATATAAAATTATATTTTAGTAAGAATTTCTGTGGCTACAACATATTTGTCGACTATATAAATGGCATTATTGAGTCAAAAAATCTAATTACCTACTATACACATTGCAAAATAAATTAATATTGAGTACTGTTAACTATTTAAAAATAACCTAATGATAACATTAGTTTCAGGTTTCAGCTAATCTAACTATCTTACCATTTAAAAATAATAAATTTTTATTTTTTAAATTATCATAATACATTTTTATCTTTTATTAATAGGAATATTCATAGTAATGTAAATAGTTATTTTCAATTTAAACGTGAAAACTATATGATTCAAAATATAACTATGAAATTAAAATATATTTAATTATATTGTTATTATTTACTTTATATGTAAATTATGACATATGATTTCTTTTGTGTTTATTTCATTAATTTATTACTATATATCCAAATAAATATTGTATTTTAACTATAAATAAAATTATGAATTGATTTTGAAAATAATATTTATAGATTAGATAAATATATAAAATATGCATATAACAGCTGTATGTAGTAATAATTAGTACTTATATTTGATATTTTATTAGAATGTATATTATATTATTGTGTACTTAAACGTAAACATAAACAAGAACTAATAACAAAAGTTAATTTCGACAACTACTGTTAAAACAAAATGTAATTCTCTACTGCGTATTGTTATGAATAATAATGATATTTCAGCTTTAATGATTCCAATCATATTTCCATGTATATAACTCTTTCCATTCTAAATTTAGATTTAAATTTAAGAGTTCTAGTAACATTAGATTGGATCATGAAAACTGATAAATAATTTTAACTATTCTATTATTAAGTCTAAATAAAAAATATGTACATTTTAGAAACCAAATAATGTTATTATGTATTTTTTTTATATTTTAAACTAATTTATATTGATTATATTTATTTTTTGGTGTATAACTAATTTTCAAATTAACCTACTTAATAAGTAACATTTAAATTTGATCAGCATTTTGCTTTTAATAATTCAGTAAAATTCTTTAATTTAATAATATCATTTAATGTAATATTTAATTTTATAAACTTAGCTTTAAACCTAGTCTTGTCGTTCCGACTAAAACAAATGCTACTCTTAGTTTCATGATTTTAATTTAGCAAAATTTTTAGATTTTTTTCGAGTTGGTTGGTACATAATACATACTGTATGCAATACGACGTTTATCTAAATAGTAAAAAAAAAATTTTAAAAATTAGAATTTTATTTACTTTATAGATACCTACCAAGATAGCATTGAAAATGCAACGAAAAAATGTTGTACGATATGGATAGAAAGAGATGATAAAATTGGGTACAGGCAGGATGAATTCAAAATATCCGTATGGGTGTTGGCCACGACTTGGGGTCGATATGAAGACGTGGTGACTATTGAATTACACGTAGGACTCGATATTCTGCCGGCCATCCATATACCACTCATCATCAATGCCATTACGTTCCCTATAGAATTCCCTTTAGCTAAAGACGTTCACAATCCAACCATCAAGTAAGTCACGAAATTTCCACAGTATAATTCAATTTTTAGTCAACTGGGACAACAAACAAAGGCAACGACTATAAAATATCCCATAAAAATAAGTATATAATTTCTTTGTCACATTTCTTTTTTCAAAACTACGTACAGCATCTAAATTAAAAATATCGTTATTTTTTTTCCTTAATCGCTTTTTTATCTAAACGTGTTATACATTGTTCGACACTTTAAAATAAATCAATCTTGTTCTATATGAAAACTGTTGAATAATAACCTATTAATATGCTATTCGTTTTTAACAGTATATTATACTCATAAGTACCTAGTTATAATAAATTTATTACATAGAAATTATATAAAGAATATAAATGCAAATAAAATAATTCAAAAAAACCCAAAACAACATTTAATTCAGTTAAGGAAACAATTTTAAAATAATTTCAGTTTATTCTGGTATTTATAAAACATTTTTTTTTTTTAATTTAAAAGGTGAATATTATATAATTTATGAGAACAGATGGCACTTGAGTTTTAAATGTACAGTCAAGTAACAATTGTATTTCATAAAAAATGATACAATATATAGCTGTTAGCTGTTATATGTCCTAGTTTTTTGAAGTATGTTAAATTGAAAAACAGTTATGTTCTATTGAAAACTTTTTAAAATAATAAACTGAATGTTATTTTCTCGTAATTAAAATGTTACCTATTAAATTTAATAATAAAAAAACAATGAAAAATATAAACATTTTAAATCAAAAACAATAGATATTTCTATTCTACGTAATTATCTTATAAACTAACTAGTAACAAAATAACTAAAATTTATGTTAGGTAAAGTGTTGTGTCGTAAATTTCAAAGTATTTCCAGTGATTTTCAAAAGTTTTTGCATTTCTTCGAAAACTAACGAAAAATATAAATAATGACCTTTCTAAAATACCATATGTGTTCAATACGAACCTATAAAAGGGTTATACAAAAGGTTGCATGAAAGTTTTAAAGAATTCCTTTTGAAGAAAAAAAAATGTTTACTTACATGGTAGTTAACTGAAAAAAAATCTCAACCATTGTTAAACTAATATATTCTTCCCTTTATATATATATATTAACAAAAATACATAAAATGAAAGAAAAAAAATGTAAAATTATTATGTTCATTGATTAATTTCGTATAAGAATATATTATATACCTATTTATATTTATATAATATATATAAAAATTTAATTTATGACAACTATATACCAAATATTAAGTTAGTAATGCTTCTGTCTAATGTAAATTATTTATTAAGGTTTAGCCTTTACTCAATGGAATCAGAAAATCGATTACAAATATTAAATAATAGTGAAATTTCGATCAAAATATCTTGGCGCATGTATAATAAAAGTAAAGAAAATAAACCATTTGGAGTATTAATTGACACATTAACTCCAGACCATCCAGATCATTGGTCTTTCAGAATCACTGATTATGATGGCTTAGAGAATCCTCGATATTTTATTGTAAGATATTAACACCACTATCATTCTATGAAATAATATAGTTTAAAAGTTTTAAGATAAAATTACAACTTTTTTAAATATTAACATCATCGCCGTTATAATTTATAATTTAAAGATTTGAATGTATATATCTAATGATTTTTATCGTTCAAGCTTCATTTAACTATTTTTTATTTGAAAAATTAAGTTAAAATAATGAAAAAAATAAATTATGTTTAACAATGTATTTATTAATTGTTAAACATAATTTGTAATACTAACTATAAGTGGTTATAATAAAAACTATTTGACTTGAATTGAATATTATATGTATTTGTATCACTATATCAAAATACACGCTAGACTGATTACACCTTTAGATTATTCAAAAATTATAGATTTCTATTAATTTACTATTGAACACTAGCAACAAATTATTTATTCAATCAATCTACATATTTTTTTTGAAAATTTAATAAGAAGTATTTCTAAGTATTTAAATATTTATTTTCTTATTATTTTTTAAATTCTAATAGGAAATAACTCAATACCCACTAACATTATGTATAAATATTCATAAATGAAATTAAGACATTGAGGTGATAATGTATCTACATTTTTTTAAAGAAAAATTTCCACGAAAAATAAATTAAAAAAAGTATGCAGAACATCCATTACACGTGATATAAATGTAATATAAAAATACCCAACATCAAACCTCTTACTATAATCGTTATTCTAATGGCGTGCATGATTAATCTATTTTCAGCAAATTAAGAACCACAGTTTTTTTTAAATACCACAGTTTTTGGCCTTAACCAACACTATTTTTGTTTATAATAGAGCAACTCGTATTAATTATTAATACCTATTAAAACCAATGCTAAAAACAATATTAATATACCATTTAAACTAATAAAAACTTTTTTTATAAAAACAGATTGCAATAGCAATAATTATTTATATATATCATATATTAATTTACAGCTAATTTTTATATTTTATTTAACCATTAACTTTACTTTTAAAAAATAACTCTTTGTTTTCAGATTGATCCTATTATATTAAAATTAGAACCAAAGACATTAGGATATGTAACATTTTCCTTGGATAGGACTAAAGAAATATCCTTAAACCGTGATGAAAATAATTTAGTAAATGGAAAAGCGGTTGGAATAATAACTGCGCTTGAACCAGCTGGGTAAATTTAATATTTTAATTTAATTATATTATATTTATTTATACACGTCTTTAACATAAAAAATGAATAGTTTTATTAACGTTTAGGCCACGGTTTTTTCTTTAAAATAATATAATTTTTTTTTATTTATAGTAATAACATTAATGTCTTACAAGTAACTATCAACAACGAATTTCTCAGAAAATATACTTAAAGAGCGACTTATTTCCATAATTTAAACTCTTGAGTTATAAAATATATAGAAATTAATCGTTTAGCTATTAATATATTAATATAATAATATTGTCAACATCCAAAATTACCAATATACAATATATTATTTTTAATATGTAAATTCGATATAACTATAAGTTCTAAGACGTTTTTAGAATATATAAAACAGAAATATAAAATTATGAAATTCGACTATCAGTCAAGACTAATCTTTACAATTTTTATTTAAAAAATATAAAGTTTATCTTAAATGATAATAATATTGTTTTGAGTCTCAACTATTGAAAAGTATCACTCATAATATTATTATAAATTGATATAACATTTTGAACCATTGAGATAAGTTAATAAAAATAACCTAATGATATCTATATACAATATTTATAGAGCAGTAAATAGTACAGTAATATTTCTGTAATTATTTCAGAAAATATTGCATAAGAAAAGATGGATTTAAAATGAAACCCACTATTGTTCAGCTTTATTCGGAAACTAGACATTCGATACAACCAAACTTAGTCATACGAGAGTTGGATAATATTTTCCACGTAATAACATATGTTATAAATCATTAAAAAATAACAAAAGAAAAATTTTAATTGGATAAAAAACAATCTAAGAGGCATTTGTTTTATTGTTTTTTATTACGCAAACGCATCATTTATTATTTTACTTTCTTTTAAGAAAAAACTTCTTAATCAAACACGTCAATGAATATAGCTATGATAATTTTTAGGTGTCGGCATCGCAAATGTATAACTCTCGATCACAATATTATACGGAAACTCGATTATTTACCATGTGTAATCATTTACGATATCCTGCAAACATTTCGTTTGAAATCAGTAGTCCGTTTATTATAAAAAGTTTGAAATCATTGAGATGTGGTAATCGATCCGGAAAAACTAATATTTATTTGTTTCATCAGGATTTGGTCGAAGTATTAAAAATTATTGTATAATATGTTTTATTTATTTCTGATTTTTGATTGAATATTTTAAGTCATTATGTGTATTAAAAATTAACATAATTATTCAACATTTATGTGTTTCTCGCATATTATGTTTCACTTTTATAATATTCCTTTAGATCGAACTCCAAGCTACTATAGATATTCAACAAGTTTATGTACCGAAAATGCCCACAAAACTATTACCCAGAAAAATTGAAAGAATAGGATACTTAAGCGCTGTTTATGAAAATAGTTATTTTAAACCTAAAGTATTTATATGAAAAAATGTTAAATCTAAATATCAAAAAATAATTTTCAATCAACATTGATTGTATAATTAAATTAATAAGGCAATTAAATGGATGAATTACTTAGTTTAAATCTATAACATTTATGTTCAATAAGAAATAATACATTTTATTTACAAATGGAATTTGAAATTTGAAATATTTAACTTATATATAAAGTATTCAATGTATCTAATACAAATAGTAATAAATATTAATTCCACAAATAATTAAATGATTTATATATTCTCTCCAGAGACTTTAACAAAAGTGTCACTCATTAAATGTAACCCATATCAAATATTCTTTATATGTATTGATCTCTAGGGTATGCAAATCATTAAAAATATCAGTAGATTTAACTGTATAGCATTTATGTGTTTTATTTTATATTTCTATTGAAGATTTAGGTTTTTCACAAAAATATTTGTGTTAAATCTTGGATTATATTATATTTCTAATAAAATAATATTTTCATAATATTCAGTCCAGAGTTCAATTTAAAATTATTGTTCCTCAAAATTCTCGGATTTCCATTCTTTATAACTGCATAAAAAGCATCTATGTAGTTAAAGACCTATATAATTTCAAAAAGAATAGATTGCCATAATAATATATTACATGAACCCATTTTTTTTGCCAACATGTAATAGATAATTAATCCTTAAATACAATTTTTAAAGTTTATTGTTTATTTTATACTATAAAACATAGTGATTGATAAGAAATGTTTAAAGATTTTTTATTGAGTAGTATCAATTAATTAATCAAAAAAAAAATAGGCTTTTTATACTTTATAGAATATATACCTATTTTATTTGATAATTTTAAATATTTTATTTCTATTTAAACTAATTACTCAACTAATTATATGTTAAAAGACTAATTTAAAAACAACCTACATAATATAATGATAATATATTATTTTTTTTTTTCTTTAACTTATTAATAATTAATACTTCTCTTTAGCAGCTACATATATTATATGTTTCTTCTAGGATTTAATAATTTTACATTATTTTTGTTTTAAAAATATATACATAATATATATATATAATAGATAAGTTGAATACAATGTAAAATTGTTATCGAACAACACTCATTATTTTAAAGTCTATTAACATTTTTGAAAATATTTTTGTTACATCATTTCCAACTTATATAAAAAAAACCATTATTTTAAAAAATTATATTTTTTATTATTATTTTTTTAAGATTTTACGTTTTTGAATGACAACAAATATTTTTATATTCTAAATCAGCATATTTTTCGGAGTATTTCGGTACACAAAAATAAAAATTTGATTTAGGCGAGTAGTTTATGAGTTATAAGTTTTTAAAATTTATGGGAGCGGAGTAGTAGATAAACATTTTGTATGTTATCCTCATATCACTCCATTCTACTTAACAAATTTTGAAATACTTATAACTCATAAACTACTCATACAAATTTCGATTTTTATATATCAAAACACTCAATAAAATATTTTTCTTCGGAATAAGAAATTAAAAATGTATACTATCATTCTAAAAAGTAAAATGTTAAGAAATAATAACGATAAAAAATATCCAAAAATATGATTTTTTTTTTTTAAAATATGTTTTATTTTGACTCATAATTATATAGTAAATAATATTTTCATAGACGTTAATAAATTTTGTTCAATAAAAAATGCATCCATTATACTATATATTATATTAGTATTATTCCAATACAAAAACAAACAGATACAAAATTACTATCTATCAATTTAATTATTATTAATTATTATTAGTATTCATGATAGACACATGATATCATGGTATTACATTTAGGTGGTTGCTACATTCAAAATTTACATATACTTTCCGGTACTAAAACTGTCAACGAACTACATAAATTTTGGTCAAGTGGTCGTAGAGGAAACTAAAAGCATAAACGTGATGTTATCTTCTTATTCAGGTACACGCATATATGCTCACACAAACTAACAAGTGAAATAATAAACGTATAGATTAACTTTGCCGACCTGGTTTCCACCTTGTTGGGCATCAAATCGCTTATGAGCTTATCGCTCGATGGTGTTCGCTTGTACTATTTTTTGATTTTTTTTTTTTTTTTTTTAAGGTGCTGAACGTTTTATTACAAAATCCGTTGACACAGTATTCACAGTATCGCCATCAGAGGGTGTCGTATCAAATAGGCCAATCCCACTCATAATCTCGTTTAAACCCAAGTGAGTTCGTTAAGACCAACTTAGAAAACAATTAAATTCAATAAAAATAGATGTATTAATTAAAATTTGTTAGGTGTGCAATTTAAAACTGATTCTACATGCTCAAATATATTTCAATTATAAATGGCAAACTAACATTAAAAATTATTTTTGATATTTAGATAAATAATTCTATAACAAAAATAAACTAATCAGCGTTTCATTATAGTGTATTATCTCATTTTTCGTTAACAGCTTGTAAAAAAAAAAGTTATTAAATATTTTACTAATCCCCGTGTTAAATTATGATAAATTAATTATTTATTATATTATTCACACAATTTTTTTAATGTTTTTTAAACCAAAATAAATATATAATTCAATATTTTTATTTTATAAATTCAAGAAAATTAACATTTGTAATTTTATATTTTTATTATTTTATTGTATTTGATAATCGTTTTAAACTAATAGATTTTAGACATCTTGAAATAATTTTGTATTCAAAATGACTAATATTCATCATCATTCACATGTTCAAAGACAAATTTAATGACTTTTAAAAAGATTTAATGCTAATTGAATTTATCGAGAGACTTGTGAACAAAGTTTTTATAATTTTCTAAAAAACGTAATTTATTTTTGACATTTTAACGTTAAAAAAGTTGAGGACAAACTTAAAAAGCTTTTTCCAGATCACTCTTTTTCATAAGATTAAAAAGAAAAAGCTATTAGTTAGTATAAAAATTTACCGTTACAAACTGGTGTTAATGTCTACAAGAATACAATGTAAGGTCTGCTTTAAAGTTTTAACGAAAAGTAATTAAAAATTCAAACTATCACATATCATACATTAGTTTAACCGTGAAATGTTTAAATTCATTACATTCATGATTGTTGGACACATAGAAATAAATAATTATTAATGAAACAAATATTTTTATTTTTATTTTATCATAAACTTATTTTAATTTGAATCTATATAAACTTTAGTTCTGAATAATATAATTTAAGAAAGTTAGAACAGATCACTTTTAATTAAATAAACATAGACCATATTATTATAAGCTTACATGTTCGTACGTGTAAAATATAAATGATCATTAGAAAGTGTGCTATATAGAAGTTCTACATATCATTACTATTCTTGCACACAAAATTTATCATTGGTTGGTACTTTACAATTTATTATTGCACGAAAATTACCAAATATGAAAAAAAATTCGTTTATTAGTGTAAAATTTAATTTGTTTAAGCTCTATGCATTCATAAATTCTAACCAGTTTCGATAAAATGTGATCCCCGACTGTTTCAAATACTACTTGATATTATATAATTACTACGTTCATATTTTATAATTATAACATTTTGCATATTTTTTTAGTCATTATAAATGTTATATTTTATCATAGCAGTATTGATTAGAAATTAATAATTTAATTAACTTTTATATTAAATTTAATGATTCTATTATAATTTGAAACTAAAAATTAATCATGGATAAATTTAATATTAATATGTTTAACAGATTCATGTAGGAACGAACTAATATACTTCATTATAAATTTTAATAAAATTAGAAAATTAAGATCTAAAATTAAAAGAATAATCAAAACTATTTTAATATTTCTGATATTCCGAGTCTTTTAAACCTTAAACTTGAAAAACATATTATAATAGCGATAATAAAATTTATCGTTTATGTACCTTTTTTTTCGGTACTTTTTAAAATGCTCTAATTAAAATTAATGATATTTTACCAGATATCTTACTATATTTTAAATGTTCGCTGTTAATTAGTTTTATTCATATATTTTACTTCAGAACTTAAAAAAAATTGAAAAATGACTTAAAAAAATAAAATTTTATAAGACTGACCAATACCCATATTTAATTAATTTGATTTAGTGTATATTTTATTTAAATGAAAAAATAGTTATTTTAGGGTCTTCTTTAGAGTTAACCATATGATATTTTTATATGTGCTGTTAAATCAATATAAGATAAATATTCATATTAATCATGTTTAACAGTTTATAAATATAAAAAACAATAAATATTTATGTATATTTACTTTAATTTTTTTAACCACTATAATATGTATTGTTTTCTTATTTTTATTAAATTAATTCATGTTTTATGTTCAAGAGCTCATGAGCAGTACTTGAAAAAGATTGAAATTTTGACAACAATACCCATGGATGTAATTTTTCTTGAAGTATCTGGATTAGGGATAAAATAATTTCTGTGTACAAGTTTATTTATTACAATAAAACATTTTCTACTTACTATTTACACTTTTGTATTTGACCTAAAAAGTTTTAAACGGATATATCTCTAAAGTTCAAAAACATAAAATATAGAGTAATGTAGTTTACTAAAGTTTTTTTTTTCTTCAAATTTTAAGTGCTTACGAAAAAATAAAAATATAATCAAATCATACGTCACATGAATCTTTTATAATTTGTTATATATTTTATTAATAAAATGTTTACAAAAAAAAAAAAAGGGTTTCATAACAAATACATTATAATTATCAACGTTTTCTATAAAATACCTTAATTTTTATTTAAACTTTTTCAGATTTTAGATTTTAAGCGAAACGATGAACGTATTAATTTTACAATAGAGTGTTTTTTTTTTTTTTATCCTTGATCATTTTTAATAAAATACTTTGATTTTCAACTTCTACTTTCTGAAATGAATTGGATATAATTGGTACTTTGAAAGTCAATAGTAAAAATTTAAAAAAAAAAACAAAAAGTTTACGGTAAACCTGTTTTTTATAAAATTAAAGTCTTTACTATGTTATGATATAAAAAATAAAACCATTAATACTTAATTTTGAACCGAATGTTTATGTTATTATTGTATATATAGTATAATTTTTAAAATATTTTAATATTTATATAGGGTTGAACAATTTTTAATATTTAATTATTACTTCGATGAAAGTACTTAGCTATTTAATACAAGATCTTTTATAAGTGGTTATCTATATCTATAGAATATAGATCGTTTTTATATCTATAAAAAAATTCAAAAAATACATTGTAAGTATTATTTTTTTTATATGCGTTTGATATTCAAATTTGAATGACATCACATGTTTAAGTGATAAATAATAATGTATATTATTTGGATATAATTTAAAAAATTATTAATTTATATGTTTTTATTGACCAATTAACGCTAAAAACTTAAATCTTGCATTTTACAACACTGTTAAATTAAATGTTTTTTATTTAAAAATGTACAATATTTTGTAGATACAAATACTATGCAATATGAAATATTTTTTTTTTTTTTTTAATGATTTGCTTGAAAAAACTTAATATTAGTGGTATCACTTAAGCTTATAAACTGCAATATAGACATAAAGCATTTTAAATTATATTTTGTTTATATTTATTGTACCTTTATAGTAGTATAACTATTAGTATAACTTTATGAAAAAATATAGAAATGATACTAAAGCTATCACCTGAATAGCTGTAATCATACTATCATCTTATTGGTAACTAATTCTACATTAAATTAAACTAATAATATTCAACCAAATCAACTAATTCGCAAATGTTATTATGCCTAGTTAAGCTACTGAATCATTTAAGTACTTTAATTAATTTATTAACAAACATTCGAAAATGTACTTAAATGTTGTATTTAATAGTACAATTGAAATGTAAACTGTATAATTCGATACATTTTTATATAATTATATTTTAATTGGCATCAAATCAAATCTTAACAGAACTTTGTTTCAAAAAATAAATAAATAAATAAACAAAATCTACAAACTAAAAATGTGAAAAGATCTATTATTGTAATGTACTTACCAACCGAAGAGTTGATATCAAAGTAAAAACAACCTGAAACATTATTTAAAATTATTAATATTATTATTCAGATCATAAAAAATATTCAACTTTTTAGTCAATGTGACCAAGTATATGACAAAAATAACAGTTTGAACCCATTCACGCCATGTCCTTTATTAGGCAGGCAACTGCCTAGATACTTCTAAACAAGGCAGAAACCGACGGCCACCGAAATAAAAGTATTGCCAAATAATTTATCAAACTATGTCTTCAAGTCTACACTTCCAATCACAAAACGTCATACGAAAAATAAATTAATTCCACAGTGTAGTCATCTTTCTCGTCACTATTTATAATTTTTGTCAATGACATAAACAATATTATTTACGTATGTAAATCTATATTATTTACGGATGATTTGAAAGTATTAATGCCAATTTCTTCAATTAATAATTATAATTATTACAGTATAATTTTATTCAATTCAGTTTATGGTATACAAGTAACGATATAAATTTAAATACAAATAATACATTCAAATTACATTCACTAGAAATAGGCAGAATTTTAATTTTAATTACCAAATAAATAACAAAAAACTTGGTATCACATCTAAAATTAAAAACTTAGATATTATTTTTTTCTAGTGATCTGATATTCACTTAAAATGTCAATGAAACCCATGAAAAATCCATACGAGTATTTAGATTTTTCAAATACAATTTCTGAGAGTTTTATGATACAATTTGCTTGTGTGGTTTATATTTCTTTTCCTCCTGCAATCAATTTTGGAGTATAGTTCAATAATCTATAGCCTCCAACAAGAATATCTTATGAAAAATTGGAATCAACCCAAGATCGATTTTTACATATGTTGGCGTATAAAACAATCAATGTTGATTTACCCTTGCAATCATTAGCTTTAAAATTTAATATTAAATATTTGGAATTTAGAAGGCAATTCAATAACTTACGCTAGCTTTATAACTTACTAAATTTCAAAATGTATTGCCCTGATAATTTTTTTTATTAGATACTACAATTAAAAAAAAAAAACAAATTTTTATCATTCAACTATAACTATGGTCTTTTACTCAAATTCGCATCAAATTACTTTATTTTTGCAAATAACAAAATATAAACTTTACATAATGTTTTTAGTGCACATAACATAAACGTATAATATGTTTTTCGTTATTCAATAGCTTTATTAAATTATATATTATACATTATGAATAGTTATTATTTAAAATATACATTAAGTCCATTAATTACATAAATTTTTCTACTTGAAACTCTATTTAGTAATTTTAATGGTTTCACAAAATACTTTTCTGCCAACTATTGCAAACCATTGCCAAAAATATTTGATTGTATAGTTTTTCAGATGTCCGTAAGTTAAAAATGGTATAAAGATAGTTCATGTTATTGGCACTTATTCAATACTCGTAATAACAAATGTGGATTAGTAGATATTAACTGTTATTTCATAGTTAGATTAATAACTTAAAGTAATCACGAATAAGTATTAATCAAATAAATAAACAATCAATAAATATCATGCATTCAACATTTTCACACGTACTGCCATTTATTTGGTTAAAAAAAAAATTTAATGATGTGATAAGCACATTAGATAATTACCATAACAGTGATAAGTTTTTAAAAATCCTTTATATATCTTTCATTAAAATTGCATTAATTCAATTTCGATGGTTAAGTTCATAATTTCTTAATTAATTAACTTTATCTTCATCTAAAAATATATTTTTCTAAAATACAAGTATATAAAAACATAATCAATAATTTAACTAACTTGTAAAAATAGTATTTATCTATTAATAATATTTATATCGTCACTTTAAGTATATTTTTAACATAAATATTTTAGTATTTAGTATTAAAAAATATATTTATAAAAATATAACTGTAAATTTATACTAATATCCATATGCTGTCATAAAAACATCTAAATAATTTAAAAAGTAATTAGTTTTTAATTATAGTATATTAATCAATTATAGGTGCTATATTTTAAGCTATACATATATCATACAAAAACAAATATAGGTACTTATATTATACTTCTATTTATTATTCACGATACTATGTAGAAACAAATAAATTAAATTTATACTAATGTAATATGTATATACTATATTATACTTTATTGTTATGACCATAATATTATTTAGTATTAAAATTAAAATTAAAAGCAATCATTTTTTATCGAAAAATATATTTAAAATGTAATCATACATTTATTCGGAAATAAGCTAATATAAAAAATATACCTATACAGAAACAAACATGTATCTGAATACTAATAAACGCCTTGATTAAATGCAAAGCAACTTTTTTCAAAAAAACACACCATACAATTATTCCTTTCCAATCTCGTCAATATTTTATGTAATATTTACAGTATCTGTTTACTGATTCAAATTCTGCCTTCGTGTATTGTCGGTTTATGCGATAAGATTGCCATAAAGTCACGAATCTTGCGTTGTAAATCATCATACAATTATTCACCTCCATCGTTCATCTACAAAAATAATTTTTCTACTTTCATCCGTGATTTTCAGTCTTATTATGCATTAAAAGAACAAAATATGATTATAATATCATGCTTAAAATAAATTCAATTTCAAGATGAATTGGCAAATTTAAAATGTACATAAGGAATATTATATATGTTAGAATAATACTGCAATACTTTTCCATGCACAAGATTAAGACAACAATCGATTTAAAACTACATATATTAATATTTAATGCGTTCAGTTCATCGATATGATTTATCATATTACACACCAAAAAATAATAAATTTTGATTTAAGAGAATTAATTTAAATATTTTACAATAAACTATATTTCCTCTTTATATACAAAATTATTTGTTTGGGCCTTTTTTCAGCCTTTTGACAAAAATAAAACTTTTGACAAATTCGATATTATTGTATTCTGAACTACTCAACTTAAATCATTTTATACAAGTTCCATAGAAATAAAAGGTACTGGGACCAAATGAAAATACGATAAAACAAACTTAACTTTTGATTGATTTCTATAATTTATTATAAAAAAAAAAAAAAAAAAACTAAAATTTAATAATTAACCTGTAATTTATTATAACAAAAAAAAAAAAAAAACTAATTGATTTAAAAACCAACAAATGGCCAAGCTGCGGAGACTTAGTCACGACAAAATAGAATAAAATAATTAAAAACTAATTGTATAGTAATTATCATAGTAGATTTGTTTTATTAATTTTTAAGTTGATATTTATACTTACATATATGATAATAATATAATATACAGCCTATAATTTAATTCTGAAATAATAACAGGAATATTTTTTAGTTAAAATATAAACCTTTATTTAATTTTTAATAAAAATTGTATTTTAAAAACATTAGTTAAATTTATTCAATAGTTAAACCGTTTTTTAAAGTAATATTACATTAATATGTGATATACACATGTTTACGTTATTGTCACATCTATTTAAGTTCTTAATTAGACACTTAAATTTCCAATTAATATTTTAACCAGTGCCTTAGTATAATTATAATATCTAATATATTATTATTAACTCACAATCTGATGTAAAGTAATAAAATAATGTTTAACCGCATAATATTAAATAGATTTACACCATTACATAATTCTATTTTCACTGCAAACACATATTGTGTTAATTAATTTTTACAATTCCAACTATCGCTTAAAATTGTACTTAATTAACTATTTTAGATATATACTTAAATTAAGAATATTAGACATCAATAACATATTTTTTTTAATATAAGGCAAGTGCAAAATTAATAAACTTGTGTTAACTTTATAACTATAAACAATACATTTAAATTTAACATAAAATTACTTATTATTAGTTTATTTTTATTCTTAATAAAAATAACTAGTAAAATTGTATCTAATAACTTATGAGTAAATTTTATTGAATATTAATAAAGTAAGAGAATTTATTCTTTAAACAGCAAGAAAACTACAGTTTAAAGAATAGGTACATCGATTATTATCACTTAAACGTTTTCGATTATACCAATCGAAATTTAAATCGATTTTAAATAAAATAGATAATTCATAAAAAATAAACTATTATTCAAGGTTTGTCAAACTATATTTCAAAAAAGATTCTATTTATAAAATTTCATTACTATTTCAATAGACAAAGAAATAGTTAAAATACTAAAAACCAAATATAATAATAATAATATATATACATATATATATTACAGAAATAAAATAAAATAAATTTGGTCTTTAAGATTAAAATTTTAAGTATGTTATTAGACAAAGACTTTATTTTTATTTTCTTCGACCTTCCTGTTTTAAGTAAATTTATTTTATAATCATACATGATAAAAAACGGATTAATATGTTTTACCTCAACCTTAATCGAAGTTAAATTTTAAGTCACCCTATATTACATTAAATAAAATTGACACTATTTTTATTTTATATAAATAATTATGATATAGTAGTTATAAAATTCACCGGAAATTAAATAACGTGCTAAATAAATTATTACGATATTGATCCGTATACTAAATAAAATTCAGTTAAATTCATAATAATTTATAAATTTATATATTTAATATACATATATAATTGTATTGCAGCATATTTTTTACAAAATATTTAAAAGTTTTTCTGTATATATTATAATTAGCTATCATTAATTTGTACCAATTATCAACATTTATATGAAATAAAAATAAATATAAATATAAAAAACTGAAGGCGGGGATTCAGAAAAATGTATTCAAAAATTCCCAAACGTATTTGATTAAATGAAATCGAATTTTTTATTCCCAATAATTAGCATGTAATTTATAAAAATGTTAACGAGAAATTGCTAAAGTTAAAAAACATCCCTAGACTAAAACACAATATTCGCAATTGAATTTTTTTCTAATTTTGATAAATGTATGCTACACAGAATTTAATAATTGGCATGTAAATAACAACCTACTCAGAATAGCTTCGAGATTCATGAAATGAAAATGAGAAATATTCGCTCGTAA